TTTGGGTAACAGTGTCAAAAGACTTTAACATTACTGTCCAGCAAAAAATGAAGTTTGATATTCTCCAGTTTCAGAAAAAGATTGCAAGTAGCTTGGAACTAAAACGACAGCCAGATCATGAGAATGAAACCAAGCTTGCTGCATTGATTTCACAAAGGTTGGGGCAGGGCAGCTTCCTGCTAATTCTGGATGATGTGTGGGAGCCTTTTTCTCTAGAAGATGTTGGAATTTCTAATCCAGTTGGAAATAATGGTTGCAAGTTAGTGCTCACGACACGGTCAAAAGATGTTGCTCGTGCAATGGATTGTAATGTGATCCATGTGAACCCTCTTCGACCTGAAGAAGCATTAGAATTATTCTCGGAGAAAATTGGAAGTGATGTGTTTTCAGATGGCAAAATTAAAAGAGATATAGAGCCATTTTTGAAGCAAATTTTGCAGAAATGTGATGGAGTACCCCTTGCTATTGTGACAGTGGCAAAATCAATGAAAGGGAAATTACTTCCTCGTCATTGGAAGTTGGCACTTTCTGAATTTAGTAAATTTGAAAGCATTATTGATTGTTTGAAATTCAGTTATGAATGCCTAGAACAACAATGCCAGGAGTGTTTTTTATATTGTGCATTGTATCCTGAAGATTGTCCAATCCCAAAGGAGGAGTTACTTGAGTATTGGATTGAGGAGGGACTTATATACAAAGAAGGGAAAACTAGGGAGGCAATGAATTGGAAGGGTCATGATATACTCGATAAGCTAGTTGACAACTGCTTGTTGGAATCGTTTCAAGCTATAGACAAAAATGAATATGTGACTATGCATGATCTTCTCCGAGAAATGGCACTGGAAATCAGTCCTCAATTCTTGGTGAAAGCCGGCATAGCCTTGGAGAAGTTACCAGAGGAGCATGAATGGAGAGAAAATCTTTTGAAGGTTTCTTTAATGGGGAATCACATAACAGAGATTCCTTCAAGCATGCCGTCTCCAAAGTGTCCTATGCTCACAACCTTGCTGTTGGCTTATAATAAGATTTCAACAATTCCAGAAGCTTTTTTTGAGCATATGCTTGGGCTCAAGATCCTTGATCTTTCCTGGAATGAGAAGCTATGTAGGCTGCCGAGTTCTATCTCCAAATTGGAGAAGCTTACTACATTATTGCTACGGGGATGTTAGTCCTTAAGAGAGGTACCAGCATTATCCAACCTTGTAGGGTTAAAGAAGTTAGACCTTTCCTGGACATCAATTGAAGAACTACCGCAAGGCCTCAACATGTTAACAAATCTAAATTATCTTGGTCTTGGTGGAAGATTATCTGAAACTCTTGATGAACCGCTACAAAATCTCTCCAAACTTCAGCATTTATTAGTAATTGGCGATGTCTATGCCGAAACAGAATTTAAATGGGAGACGATTGGAATTTGGGGGAAGCTTCAAAACCTTGAGCAGCTGGATCTTGGTTCTTTGCGTGACTTGAATATGGTGTTTGGGGAAGTAGGAGCAATTGCTGAGTCAGCATCGCTACCAGCTGGCACATTTTCCTCTCTTCAATATATTAGTGTTTGTTTTTGTGATAAAATAAAGAAGTTATGCTCGGTAAGGTGGTTGGGATATCTCCAGAAACTACAGTCTATTGAGGTTTCTGATTGTGAGCAACTGGAGGAGATGGTAGGGTCTGAATCTGAAGGAGGAGAAAAAGTCACTCTACCCAACTTAGAAAGGTTGGAATTGACAAGATTGCCCTTACTGAAGACCATCCATAACGGTTCTTTGATTTGTGATTCCATCAAGAAGATTGAAATTGATAGATGTGAAAATATAGAGAGTGTTTTTTGGTCGGGGTTCAACCCACTTCCAAATCTTGAATATCTAGTCCTTTCTGATTTAGGGAATTTGAAATCCGTGTTTGATGAAGAAGGTTTTGGTTTATCGCCACATGTACCTCCCACAAGCTTTTTCCCTCTTAAAGAAATTAGGGTTGAAGAATGTGATCAATTAAAGAAGGTATTCTCATCTGGATGGCTGCTTCACTACTTCCAATCCCTAGAGAGTATTGAGGTTAAAGAGTGTAAGCAAATGGAGGAGCTGATATCGTCATCGGCACATGAAGAAGAAAAGGTCACTCTACCCAAGTTAAAAGGGTTGAAATTGACAAGTTTGCCCTTATTGAAGAGCATCTGCAGCAGCTCCAGTGTGTTGATTTGTGATTCCATCCAGAGTCTGACGATTTCCAAGTGTAAGAAGCTAAAGAGGATTCCTCTGAATTTTCCCTCCCTTGACAATGCCCAATCATCTCATCCTCCTTCCCTCAAAGAAATTGTGGTATACCCAAAAAAATGGTGGAAATCATTGGAATGGGACCATCCCAATGCAAAAGACATCCTTTTCCCCTTCTGTAAATTTCGGCCACCGTGGGACGACGCATCGTGAATGTAAGCCTTTTAATCTTCAATTTTCCATTTTTGATTCAACTCAGGATGAGTTTTCCATTCTTACTAAATCTCTCTCTCTCTCATCTATTCTTTTCTCCCCCATTGGCAGCAATTGGGATTC